ACTTGTTAGTGAAGGGTTATGATTGGTGCTGCATAAGGCACACTGTTTGGTAAGAAGATGTGGAGATGCCATCTCTGGCTCTGGGTGGCTTAAGGGGATGGGTCTCTTGTACAAATCAGCAAGGTTTAAAAACTTCTCGAAGGTCAACTTGGATGGGAGGCTGCCTCTGCGGACTCATGCAAAGGGTCAGTTGCAACTTGTCTGAGGTTTGACAGACAATGGCCTCCTAACTCCACCTACATGTCCTGAAGATGCTCTCCTTTTGCCTTTGCTGTGAGGAGATGTGATACAATCCTACCTAAAATATAATACCTTTAATGGCTTTCTCTTTTTTCTTTGATACTTTGTAGCAACCCCTCCTTCCCTTGGGTTGGTTGGTTGGTTTGTGTTTTGAGACAGGGTTTCACTGTGTAGCCCTGGTCATCCTGGAACTAGCTCTAAAGACCAGGCTGGCCTTGAGCTTACAGATAGCTGCCTATCTCTACCTCCTGAGTGCTGGGATGAAGGTGTGTGCCACCACTGACTGCCTGTAGCAATCCTTGTTAAAGGTAACATATCTGCAGACAAACTGGACTAGAGATGTCAAAAGTTTGAACCTCATTGTATATTATGGGGGAAATACAACGATATATTTATTAAATTTAAGTAGGAAACCAACCACACATATGTAGCCACTGTAAAGGAAATATAAATGACTAGGGGTAGAATTTTGAAGATTAAAAACAATCTATATCAAAGCTTTAAGGGAAAAAATGATCCTTCCTGTTCATATATACTGTATAGAAATATTGTTTTCATGTGGCTTATTTGGAGTTATTTTCAGATACAACTAAAAAAAAAAAAAAAGGGCTATAATGTTCTCATACTGATTACCAGGGTGTAAAATTCACGGAGGGAAACAAAAGGTCCTGGTGGTTCAACTTTCTCCCTGGTCTTTCTGAAGATATTCATAAAACCATCTGCTAGCTTTGTGTATCCATTTACAACAAACAAGAAAAACCTAAAAGGCTTATAGAGTTTTGTTTAGATGTGATTGCCTGCTACATGTGGTTGTCTTAGAGTGAAAGAGCCCACATTCTGCATCCCAGATGCATAGGTAAGGGGCTACAGTCTGGATTTCAGATACATAGGTAAGGGGTCATAGTCTGGGTACCAGATGCTTTGGTAAGGATCAAGAGACTGGGTACCAGTTGCATTGGTGACTTAACTTCTAGGCTGCTGATTTAGCAGTATTAGAAGATGTGGTAGCTGATTAATAAAGCCCATTTATGTCCATTATACCCTGGGACAGGTTTGCCTACAGTGCAAAAGGAAAGGTAACTTTGTTTTAATTCTACATGCATATAAAATAACTAGTCCTCATAAATCAAACAAGATAACTGGTTTTGCTGGATTCCTAGTGAAGACAAATAAATGCTTGGTGTTTTTTTTTTTTTTTTTTTTTTCATAATTGCCACCAGCCCTCAAGTTCTGTTTCCATTTACTCATCTGAATAAAGAATCCCCTGAGGAGGCATGTTTCCAAATGGTAGAAGTATGAGGAAGAAGCATCTTTTGTGACAACCCAGGTTGGGAATGAGGCTTGCCAAGCTCTGCAAATTGCACCCTTCATGGGGACACCCATGTTCCAAAGGCCTCTTTCAACTAACACGTTTTCAGCCCAGCATTTGTCAAATGTCTTCTTTTGTTAACTTGTTGACAAGAGTGAACTTGTCAGCTTTTAAAATGGCTGCCATCCCTGCGTGCAGGCCTAGATGAAAATGTGGGAAGTGTGAGCCACTACCTTTCACAGTGGATCTTGTCAAGGGCTCAGACTTCAACCTGGCTGCTCCTGCAGCAGGAAAAAAAAATCTACCTTCTGAAAACATAACAAGCAGTGATGAGTCTATCAAAATTCCACAGAAATAAAAGAAGTCAAATAGAAATAAATAGGTCTATCTTTACTATGCTAAAGAGTTAAAAGGTGATGTGTGACTCAACAACACAATGAAAATGCTACCAGACTCAGCCACTGGTTTTACATTAACAGCAGACTGAGACATAATGGGCAATGCAATGACAACAGTCAGTATGTTCTCCTTGAAGGAAGAAGACAGGTGAACACAGAGCAGTCTCCACCTGAGAAATGGCTAAGATGCAATGAACGCCCAAAGTATATCCTTCAGAACATCTCTGAAGAGCCATGTGGCAGGCAGGGCTGGTGAGATGGCTCATGGGATGGCTCACTGGATAGAGGGGCTTGTACACAGGTCTAACAGCTGGAATTCAATTACTGGAGACTACAATAGGTGAGGACCCATTCCTTAGAGTTGTCCTCTGACCTCTGCATATGTGTCATAAACACACACACACACACACACACACACACACACACACACAAACACAAACTGAAAAAAACAAATCAACATCCTAGCTGCCAACACCTACTGCTCTTGTTCCTGCTTCACTGGCCAAGCTCCTTTCTGCATCAAGTGAAATCATCTCTAAGAACCTAGAGTTTCATTTCTTCCCAAGCACCAAATTCCCTGTTCATTAAAGTGTCCATGTCTCTTCTCATAGTCCACCAGAGCCTATAAATCAGATGATCCAGCTTCTCAGTTGTCATTTCCCTATATCCAGACCTGCTTGAGGACGTGCTTGAAAATGCCAAGGGTACTGGGAAAGTTTTTCAAGGACCAGCATGAAAACAAAACTCTCTGGAATGTTCTCTAATTCTTTCCTGCTTTTACCCAGGTAAAAGATTAAATGGATAGGGGAAAAGGGGGGGGGCTTCAAATTTCAAATGCTGAAATCGAATTATGCTTTCATATGTGTACATGTATCTTTAATATGTGATCATATATTAATATAGGCACATATATGTAAACACATAAGTACTTTTAAATAGAGGAGATAATATACATCAGCTCAAGTGAAAGAGACAAAAAAGTAATTATTAAAAATTATAAGGATGGCTAGGGAGAAATTATAGTTGGTAAAGTGTTCTCTGTCAAGAATGATGCTGAGGAAAAATCCCAGCACTCACACAGAAGAGCTGCTTACTCTTGTGGTCTCAGCACTGGGGAAGTGGAAAGAGGTGATGCCCTGGGACTTGGTGGTCAAGAAGCTTGTCCTTCCTGACATATATACTTTCACACACACATATGTAGGTATATGTTACTGATCAAAATCATCATGTATTAAGTTTCAAATAAGTACCAGTGAACTAAGCAAACAGTTTACCCCTTCTTTATCCAGAATCCTAACTATGGCTTAAATCAATTGAATCCATTTATAAGATGTATAATGGTGATTAATTGCCTCATAATGACTCTGAGGTAGGACAAACCCCAGGGACTCACAAGTTAATCTTTATAAATGAAATCCAACTTAGTAGCACTTTCATACACAATGAATTCTAATCTTCCGTAAATCATAAATTAATTTAGAGTAAATCAAAAGTTGTTAACTGTAATAAAAAGCAAGGTTTCCTCTACATCTGGATTAATACAGGCTGGTGTGGGTACCTTTCCATATATTACCACATATAAAAGGTCCCATAGCTTTGCATTTGCTAACAGAAATTATCAGCTATAAGCTAGGGGAAAAAAAACAAAACATGATAGCAATAATTACCAAGTAGCATAAAATAATCTGTTAAATTGCAATTATATTTTCACACATTTTCATTCACTAAACAACTTCCAAGGCTGAGCTATATCTGCATTTTTGAAAATCTTGTATCTATAATCATTGCACACACCTGTTCAGTCCCTACACAATAACGTACCCTACACGTACCTTATTCTGAGGGCTTGCTTCATGAATGTCTCAGTATTATCTAAAAAGCATGTTGTAGTTGCTTTACCTACAAGGAAGTGGTGCCATTTTGTCAATTTTCTATGTAAATTCTGCCTTCTGGGACCATTCTGCCACTGAGCTACATTCCATCCCAATGCTTTCTACTTAGCACAGTCTTCTCCACAGCGCCCTTGCTGGAAGACTGAAGAATGACAGTTGGTTTTATGGAGACAGACTCATTGGCCCAGTACAGACTTGATGAGAATGTTTTACTTGGGAATGGGGGTGAGGCTCTTTGATTCTCAAACAGAAATCAAGAGACTCTTGAGGGAATGCATCCTTTATTGATATTCCAGCTTTGCTCTAGTGGTCAAGGTGCTGAATTGGAGCTGAAAATAGAAGCAGATTAAAATGCTACTGGATTTTTCTGAAGTCTCTCTGAAGACGGCTAAAACTACACTAGCCTTCTGCGTTAGGAATCAGGTAAGCACCAAGACAAATGAACATCTTAGGAACTAGGAGCTAGGGTAAGATGAAAGAGGGAGTTCTAGCAGGCGGGAGGTGGGATGATCCCCATGAACCCTGAAACATGGAGGAAAAGTGGAGCTAACTAGGTATTGTGTGAGGGGCTTCCCATGGTTCCCCTTAATCGTAAGGGGAGACCTGAGATATAGTGAAGGCATGATCTAAGGTGGCTAGTTCTTTCTTCTTTTTCCTCCTCATTTTCAGTCTGTCCTGTTTTCATAGGAGCTTGTTATCCCACTACAGCAAAACCCTCTAAACAATGGAAGATGCTGTCCTGGTATTCTCCACAGATTTTATAAGCAAATGGCTTAATAAGGTTTTTCATAACACTTGTAATTCTCCTACCCAGAACAATAAAAGGGTGCTCTGGCCTTAAAGTGTCTGGAGTTCCTGGAGTATCATGGATATTCAACCAATTTAATACCTTAAATATTCTCTATACAGAATTGGCAAAAATGCCCTTAAATGTGTCAAGTAAAAATTATTGTACATATATCAAAGACAATTACCACTTACAGTTTTCAGAAAAACATTTAGCAATGATATGTGCTCACTGCTAAAACTGGAAAAAATATTCCAAGATGATTTTTAAAAACACATTTAAATATATATATATATATATATATATATATATATATATATATATAAACATTTTACAGATCCATTGGACGTTTTAGCGAAGTACAGTTTACTTACTACTTGTAGGTTTCAGAGCGGATATATTCAAAAACATGGGACACACCAAGCTGGAACTGATCGGCAATTGGGGTAACCCAGGGGTTGTTCTCTGCTTTGAAGACCTGCTTCTGACCCGTTAAATCCAAGTTGCCTGAAAAGATGAAGAGACACAAAAGGAAGCTAAAGGTTCTATCATCCAAGAAGGTGAGCATGAGAAAATCCTTATGTACGTTGTAAGTCATTTTTTTATTAGTTTTTAAAGTTCTTAGCCCAAGACTTACTGGTACACATAAGCAATGATGATGGTGATTTCTGATCCAAGAAATTGATACCAAATAGAGGAAGGAAGGAAGGAAGGAAGGAAGGAAGGAAGGAAGGAAGGAAGGAAGGGAGGGAGGGAGGAAGGAAAGGCGGGAGGGAGGTAAGCAGGGAGGGAGGGAAAGAGGGAGGGAGGGAGGAGGGGAGCAGATGAGGAGAAGAAATAGGAAGTTTCATAAGCACTAACCTGAGGACATGCTTTGTCCAGTATAGCATGTCTTATTTTTCTAGGTATTTACTACAGAGACTAAAAGTCTGTTCAAGATTGAAAGACTGACAGGAAAGATGGTTCAGCAATTAGGACACTGATCTTGCTGAGGGCCCAGGCTTGGTTCCCCACACCCACATAAAGTGGCTCACAATCTCCTTTAACTCCAGTTCCAGGGCAAACCAACATTTCTGCCTTCTAAGGGTACCTTGCATTCATATCTATGGACATATTCGCCCGTGGACATACCCACCCATGCACATAATTAAAAACATAGTTATTCTCTAGAAGAAATGATCTAGGGAAAAGATAACATTGAAACCCCCAGATGATGCTAGTGCTAGTGGATCAAAGGCAAATCAGATCAGCAGAACTTTCTTCATCAAGCCCCAAACCTAGTGAAGCAATAGGAGCACATTACACTAGCCCAGTTACCCTGAATCTATCACTCACGCATGATGAACACATCGAAAATCAGCCCTAAGTGAGTGCATTAACACAGTGATGATGGAGGCTAAACACTTGTATCACTCTAATCAGTTTACAAATTACCTTAGAAAATTACTTCCTTGTTTAATTTTCTAGCAATCCCCAAGGCCAGTTATTAACATCACTTTATAGGTGAGGGAGTGGAAATTTGGGTGAATGAACTAATATGCCCAAGATCAGAAAATGTCAGCACAGGAATCTGAAGCTGGTTCCAAACCCTGTTTTCTCTCTGTGGCCAAAACAATCCATCTGCAATGTCCATCTAGATCAATGATGTGTGTTAATGGAGCACTGAAGCCAGTAAGTAGTGCCCCCCCCCCTTGTATATCACCTACTCATGATCAGTCTGCTCTCCCAGCCCCAGCTTTTGGTATCTTCAAGAACGGAAAACGCAATGTGAAGGCACTTCCTCCTGCCTGCCAGTCTACAGATACGGAAGACAAGACCAAAGACAGCACTTCCACAACAGGAATGAATGTGGCTTCACCTGGATAGTCCCCACAGGTCTTTCCTGAGTTTCACTATGCAAGTCCAATTTCAGTTTTGCAGTCTACAGACCAGGGCTGTTGGAACAGTGACTCTCAGTAATTACCCTTCTCAAGACATTTCAAGTGACACTGCTGTCCTGCTCTGAGGCATTACTGGCATTTTTTGACAATTGATGGTAAGCACAATGAAAATATATTCTTGAGATGCAGGTAGACCAACACAAATAGTTTTCTAGTACATCTGAACTCTGGGAATGACGGAATAAACAACAAAGCATTATTTTCTTTTGTGATGTGTAGTTTATACAATTGTGTGTGTGTTGGGGGGGGGGTCTGGGTGCACACATACGCACAAGCATGTGTGTGTAGGCTAGAAGACAAAGTTAGGTGTCTTCCACACTCTCCACCTTACTTTGCACAGGGCATCTCTCACTGAACCTGGAGGCAACTGACTCCACTGGCCAGCCAGACCCTATGCTGTTGTCTCTCTCCAGTATAAGGAGTATAAGAATGCACCATCATACCCATGCCCAGCTTTTAACACGGTGTTAGGAATTTGAACTGAGACCCCCATGCACACAGGGTATATACTTTGCTATTTATGCCATCTCTCCAGCTCCAAAAATTTTTACTAGGAAGTGGATACAACTGTTTCTTTTTATAACAAAGGATAGATACTTCTATTCTTTTTGTTATAAAAGCAGGAAAAAAAACAGAAAGAAAAATATTAAAAAATACGAAAAAAGAGGCCATGATATTGAGGGATGAGGGGTGTATGGGTGGATTTGGAAGTGACAAAGGGAGAAACATTGTACTTACATTAAAATCTCAAAAATAAACAAAAAAACAAAATAAATCATTACAAGCTTACAAATAACTTTTAAAGAAGACATACTACAAAATATTAGAGAAGTAATTCATCACATCTTTCCAAAGAAACTGATTTTGTTGGTGTAAAGTGCAAAAATAAGCAGATACATTGCTTTCCAAGATTATCAATATTGTCAATTTCCTCATTTTAATGATTAAACATCATCACTCATCTTTTACATTACTTGGAAAATTAATGAGCTTGGTTCTCTATATCATGAGTCTGGAGCTTTCTGGAATAAGTGGAAGTTCAAAAGCTGCAAATACAATGCTCAGCTAAGCAGTGCCTGATCCTATTGGCAAGGACGCTACTCATCTTTGCATTCATTCAGGATAGGAGTGCTTTGGCGTTCTAAGAGTGCAACTAATCTTTTGTTTACATTTTTCTGTAACTCTGGTTTTCTCTTATGGTCTGGGCTTTAAATTCCTATGTCATCTCTCCCAAATCACTCTCTCATTTTCTCCAGAGTCCCCTTATCCTAAATATGAGGGTGATAAAAAATTTTTAAAGATAAGTCCATATTTCTTATGTGTTATATCTTCCTTGAACAACATATACTTTACCCACAGCCCTTAGGATACACAGTCATCTATTAAAGGTCCCCTGTACCAGGTAACAGTAACAATTCACTAATAAGTTGAGGATGGAGGTGCTTGCTGCAGGTGAACAAACCCCTATAACACACACATCTGATATGTAACCAAAACTGACATATTGTCATCTTGCTGCATCTAAGTCCTTCCTACTCACTCAGCCTGGAGTCACCTATGAAACAAGTAACAACATTTGCTGGAGAAGAATCTGGGTATACTAACATAGAGGTGGAGGGGATGAATTGGTAAATATTGCAGATTGACCAAATTAGAGTATGAACTGATTTCTAAACAAAGGGGACTCCTCTAGTGGGAGGGAATTCTGTGAGAACTCTCTTCCTTTTCTGACCCTAATGCCGATTACCCTGCTGGGAAATACAAGTGAATTTCACTTGGTGCAGTTCTGTTCTGCAGACCAAGTATCCAGGACATTGCATCATTCATACCTTACCATGAATTAAGGTGTCATCACTGGCTTCCTTTGAGTGTGTGGTTTAGACAGGGATAATGGGAATATAAGGTTTTCATCACTTTGCAAAGAGGAACAGGGAATTCTAAATAAAGAAGCTGTGCTTGAAGCACAAAGGATTTCTGACTGTGCTGCATTTTCAGGGCCTTTGGTAAGTGTGAGAGCACATGGATCATGGCAAAGACTGAAGAAGATGCCTTGGACCAGCATCAGTAACTCAAAATTCAAATTTGACACAGGCAGGGAGGAAAAGGGGCTGGCTTCTTTCTCTGGATGATATCACCATCTCCCTTCTGCTGAGGTCTAAGGCTTGCCCCAGTAACCTGAACACACAAGGACAAGTTGGCATGGTGATTCACATCAACAATCCTAGGGAAAAAGACTGAGGTAGGATGATTATGAGTTCTAGGCTAGCCTGGCCTATACAGAGACTCTGTGTCAAAACAAAACTAAACAAACAAACAAACAAAAAACAGTAAGTATGATACAAACAAACTTTCAGTGTGGCATCCTTGAACTTAAGATCCAGGTACATATTTCTGCAGGAAATAAATCTACTGCCAACCAACTACCAACACATTAAAGCATAGCACAGCCTCTGGTTAACTACTTGACAGAGCCATACAAACCCTGCAGTCTTTAACTGCAAGCTTCTGAAAATAATGCACAAAAATCCCATGTTCCCTCACTGCCACACTTGGAAGACAAACCTAAGGGAATAATGCCAAGAAAGGTCAGCCATACCCTTCTGTCTGAAGCCCAGAGTCCCCTGGAGATCTGTCAGTCCCCAGTGATGTCTCTATTTAGTGCTGTCAGTGGAGACGGAGAGGCACAGAGGATTGCTAACGACTTCTGCTAACTGGAGCACAGAGGAGATGCTGAACGTAAGCTAGACATTCTCCCTTCAGGGAGAAGGAGTCATAACCTGATGTGTGAGAGTGAGAGGAAGCAGAGAGGACCACGGAATATTATTCATCAGCACCGTCATTTCCATCACTCTGAATCCATTCTGCTGTGCTGCTTTCTGTGCTGAGCAGTGGAGAGGGAGACCTGCGTTACCCTATGCCCCTATCTTTTGTCATTTTAGTATTAAACAGTGCTGCTGAAGCAAATACACAGGGGCCTCACAGCCCAAGAAGAACAGAGGGAGGGGGGACATCTGATGGAAAAGAATGATTCAAGTTCACCGAAGAGAAAAACAAAACATCGCCTTCCTGTTTGATGCAAGGATGATGAAGACCACATAGACCGTCCACAATAAACCTTGAAGGAGGAATCAATTACCTGGGACCAGGATGGAAATTACAGGTGACTCTAAAAGAGCAACATCGCCTCAGAATTATCATGGGAGCCTGGCATGATGGGATGAGCATCTTTTGTTTTTCAACTTAATGTCACTGGTTGTTAACACAATCCCTGCTTCTGTGTAGCTGCAATCTGCCCAGTGAACTATCTGTCTCTGGGTTCTCTCTTACCTCACTCTGCACCAGCCTGGCATGCAGCAATTTCAGAAGAGGGCTAATATAATTAGAGTGAAGATGGCCTATTATGCTGTGAGAAAAGATGACACCTGTCTCATATCGGCCTAGCAACAAGTTCCCATCGCCTCGCTGAAGCTCGTCTGTCAGCTGTCTGGGGTGTGTTCCCTTTTAAGTAATAGCATGCAGGCAGCATCTCATCCCGCTGTCAGTCAGCTTACAATCGCCCTCACACTG